TGCTGGTGCAGAGCACAGAGGCAAACACGAACCCTGGCGGTGTCGGGACACGCGAAGGGCAAAAGAGAGAACTGGACCACGGGCAAAGTACGCCGGGCTCCTCTTTGCCCCCTGTTCAGTTGAGGTGAGGGCAGTTTTTCTTGGTGTGTAATCAGTGGTAATGGAGGAGCTTTCCTCTAACGGAGTTCAGGCAATGTCCAAGTTGATCTGCGATCCCAAAAGTAAAAGGCATCCCTTGAGTTCCCCATTGTTCCACCTAGCCTTCAGCTCAGAGCTGTGCATCAGTAGGAAAATGTATTTTTGTAGGCCCAAGACTTAGGGGGACAGCCTTAGCTGAAGCGAAGGAGAGTCCCTGCCTTCCTGGCCACAGTCATGTTGCTGTCAAAATAGCCTAAACTATTAAGGCTGATAGAGGAACTGAAGCTTCTTGAGTCTCATCGGTGGATCCATGTTTGCGGAACAGGAAAGTTCAGCTTGTTGGTGATTTTTAGTTCAGTTTTGTCACTGGAGTTGGGCCCCCAACATCATGTCACAAAAGCTAGTATACTTTCTGCGGTCATCTTTTCTGCAGGCAAGACATAGGAGGCTGCCACTAGTAAAGTGACCGTGAATCAAACACTGTACTATTCATCTGAAGCATAAAGAATGAATTGAAAAGAACAACCTGATTTTTGCTGTCATTGCTATTTGATTATGTAATTAGTAAGCAGTGCAACAGTGAAAGGGTGTGGTAATTTATTGCCCAAGCCTGCCATGCCCTAGATAAATACAGGCTGTACACTAAGATACCCTTGGTCAACAAAATGGTTTTTCCTACCCATAAAAGAACTATGTTACAGGGCATATTTGTTGTTTCTCTATGTCCATCCATAGGGAAGTTTCAGCAACATCTTGGGACATGAAAAGGGATAATTAATTTGAAATTTCTCTTAGTACTTAAGAGGAACACGGACAGTGCCTGAGAACTGCAGGATCTTATCCTGCAAAAATACACCCATTTCTTCATGCTGTTTTGGTTTAATGTGACTTATAGAGCACCTACATAGACAACAGCTAAGGTAGAAACTTGCCCTGCTGTCTCTAGACCCACTCTTCTCTCCATCGCTGCTCCCTAATGCTGTGAGTGCTTGACACACAAGTTTTCTTTCGTTTGGAAACTTAGCATGCTGCTTTGAAACAGATCAATAATAACAATGAATATAAGCAAGCATGAAAATCTGTAACACATTTCTTCCCTTAGGAAAGAAAAAAAGGAGACGTTATTATTGCTAACTCTGCTTTTAAAACCCTTGGAGGTTTTTACTATGCTTCAGTGCTAAAAGCCATAAATATGCAGAGAAAGACTGTTATTTCTATTTCCTTATCTTTCCCGTGGTTAATTTTTAATGAGTTATCGTTATTTGAAACATCAGGATTGTCCAAAGATGAGCTACCATGGATATAGCATCTCGTGAAAAGGAAAAAAAAAACAAACAGAATAAAAGAACAGATACAGTTATTGCACTCAGTGAAAAAACAAAATCCTTCTTTGAATGCGAAAAGCACACGTGCAGCGCTGTGGCTGGAACAGCAACCAGCAAGGTGACAGAGGCAGAGAACTACTAACGTTTTTTCCTGAGGCTTGACCATTTGTACGCCCAATAAAACTATCTGGTTTGTCAAGAAAGGAATAGTAATTAGCCAGGTTAAGAGGCAGCTGGATGACGTCGGGTGACTTGCAGACAAAATTGCCCCCTCGGCCACTGGAGCCTGCCTGAGCGAGAATTGCTGGACGTGCTCCAGAGACCTTCTTCTAACTCCTTTTTACTGAAGCGCCCGACAGCAGGACGCTTGGTAGCTTAGGACGACCGAGCGGGGCACAGCGGGCGCGACCACCGCGCATGCGCACACCCGCACACGCCTTCGCTTGCGGCTGCCGGCCTTCTAAATACTTCCCGCCCGCTCATTGGTTGCTGGAAGCGAGAGTGCAGGCCAATCAACAGCTTGCTCTGAGCCTGGCACGGAGGAGGTGCTGCGCCGACCAGTAGCAGAAGCTGTTCTTGTTGCTAGGAGACAGGCATACACAGTGCGGTGGCCGAGCGGAGTGGATGGAGGCGAGCGGCGAGGCCCCGGACGCCGGCCCAGCCCGC